AAAGAGAAATCGCAGACAAACTGACAGAGGATATAACACAAGGCAATAAACATTTCCGATCACATGATTAACCAACGTATTTTAAGGATGGACTTGCCGGAGCAAAGAACGCAAAAATATGAGTTACTGTTTTTAAACGAAGCTGAAAAAGCTTTTGAGCCATCACAATCCTTGGTCTTTTTACTCTCGGCAATCACATTTATGTGGCGCACAATCAGTGAAAGACGGACTGGTTTACATTCAGGTAGTTCAAGGGTTAATAATTTCTTGTTTTTAATCTTACATAGAAGGCTGACTCACGCATATCGTGTGTGTGTGGTCACGTGTTTGAGCGTTCCAAGCTGATTGGCGGAAAAAGGTTTTCAGGTAAGACTTAGCTGTGACACCTCAATCAATCAGTCGCTCTCTTGAAACATTTTCTTCGACGCGTTAACCCTTCACACCCTAACATCAGTATGTATATTCTCCATACTTTTCTCCGTACATTTCCAAAGAGGCTGACAAGGAGAATTTGTTTAACAATCAAGAGCTGCTTTAGTTGGTGATCATCTCCCCTATTCTCATGACTTTCGTGTTTGTTTCAGGAGTGATATTGTGATGGGTTAAAGGCTTTAAGGCTTTGAAGAAAATGTTTCAATGTAATCAATTAACTTCCAAATGCTTGAGGTGTAGGTTGGAACTCAGACACATCCTCATGGCTCTTGAAACTTACGATTATCGGTTAGCAACTGCACATCCTTGGCTAAAGAACATATTTTCCGGTTTTTGTACAGAATAATCTGCAAAACTCAACCCCAAAAACTTACCATTTCGAGCGTTTCGAATCTGCCGCATGAAGTCCAGTGTAAATCTCACCTATGGCTCTCATTAGTCCATTTCACGGTTGCGTGCTTGGTTGCCAAGCCTTTGAACAGGAGTGAGGCTCGTTATGATGCAAAACTTGCTGCTTTTCAAATGTAAATTATATTGTTATCATACTGAATAGATACCAGTCTCTATCACAACATGGTCAACTTCAGCCTCACTCCAAATCAAAGGCTTGACAACTAAGTGCACAACTATAAAATGGCCTATTGTGTCTTTTTGTCCTCGGGTAACTTTCATTTTTTTTAAACATTTTGCAAATGAAAAGCCTGAACCATCTTTCTTGTCTCGGTTACGTTCATCGCGCCACAGATGTAAGAACTAGATGAAGTTATGTCTTTTTTCAGGCTTTTTTTTTCATCACTGCTTAAGTAGGATTCATAATTGCGAAGATCACTCTCATCTTTGAAGTTTTGTATAATACGGGTAAACAGTAGCGAATTAATTTTTTTAATGACTGCGTCTTTTAATGGAATTTTCAGAATATCGAGTGGAGCTATATTCTCGTTTGGAAAACAGAAGAATGAAGAGGCTCACAAGAGAAAAAAGGGGAGGAACCGAAAATTGCAAAAAGACGCAACACAAGGTGCTAATAACTGATAGAAAATGATCGTTGACAGTAAAATTCAATACATGTAAAACGAAGGTAGGGCGGCAGATGAGTACATTGTAGCTATAGTTTATTATGGTCTGTTTTGCTTGAAAATACTGAGAAGCTTCATGTAATCTGCTTCGAAAAAGGTTTGTGGATTTTCATCTTCGGGTTTTTTTTTCTTTTAAAAATTGCGGAACCCGATCTTAAGAATCGACGTAAGCTTTTGCGTCAATGGTCCGCTACTGGCGACGGATATGAGGAATGTGGTGGGGAGCATAAGTCCGAGAATAATGCTTACCTCTGTTATTTGCTTTTCCTTATCTCACTTTTAGTTACTGCAAGGTCAAGTCTGACAAACAAAAGTATATGCTCTGAATGAACTTAAATTACAATAAACAATATAGAGGCGCGGCCGTGACCTACTTGCCATCAGCTGTGCACCATCCTGCCTAATTTGCCTTTCATTGTCTATGTGCCTTCGACATCATGAAAACCACGCATTGGGCGTGAATGTTAGTGGTTTAAAAAAGAAATGAAATGATGACCCTGGAAATATTAACTGAAGACACACCTTGGCAGAAAGGATAAAGCGACAATTTTCTGCTGTCCTCAATACGTGGTCTTTAAATCATTTTGTGATATAAAGTTCGTTGACGCCTTTTAACGTATGTAAAGCTAAACGATGTAAGAGAAAACAATATGAATGCCTCACCTTTCTGGGCATGTACCACGAGTGTTCGCAGTGTAGATTCTCTCTAGTTACTGTAAATATTTTCTTGTTTTATTCCTAGGTCAACAAAGTGACAGAAGAAACAGCTTCCGTGCATCCCCCGCGTAAAGTTAAGGCGTCACGCACATCCGGCAGATCGGGTTTGGTTCACCGACGAATGAAAACCAAAAGATTTTCGCACACAGCTGGCTCTGTACCAAAAAAAACGGCCGTGCCCCCAGAACTCGTGTCTAGGCTTCCAAGTGCTCTTCAAGAAATTAACAGAAGGTTGACAGGACAGAATCTCATGTGGTGGACAGTACACTGGCTGCAGTAAAAGTCCGGACAGCTATCCTTCTGATTAAATTTCTCAACGTAAAACGTTTTATATTGCCAACCGGCCACAGGGAAGAGAAGGACCAAAAGTCATCTATGGAATCAACGAACTAAAAAAAACAACCAAAAAAATTACAAGACAGCATCAGTATTGTTATCTGTTCTCTGCGGTCGTAACGATTTTGGACTAACTGAAAAACCCTGCACATGCAGCGAGGTGATTGAATTTCCTATAGGAGGGGGTTACTAAGCCAAGTTTACATATGCTAGCTACGTTCCGAAATCAAAACTCGATTTCCTTTATGCACATTATCTTTAGGTGCATTATCTTACAACTCCTTTAATGACGTACTTCCCCGCTGTATTCAGGTCAGGCGTAACAAGGGGTAGGTTTGTATATATTTTCTTCTCACTTTCAATGGCATCTGACGGGTGGGATGTTTCCTATGTAAATACAAAGCATTTTAAACGACCGGGGGTTTATTTAAGCAAAATGACCTAATTTCCTAAAGCTGGAACGGATAGTTGAGCAGTTGTTTCTAATTTCAGCACAAAACCTTCTTTCATCAGTTCGCAATATGCTGTTATCTGTAAATATGCAGACCGGTCAGTGTAATGCACTTTTTATGAAGAACTGGAAAGAATTATTTATCAAACATTGATTGCGCCAAAGACATCTGAAGCGACAATTTTAGCGAGAAAAAGTAAAATATTAGGTTCTAAGTAAAGTTTTTAAAACTGTTTGAATACAAAACTATCTCAGGAAATAGAGATAAACTCTGCCAAAATCAGTCTTAATCAATATATATCGATTCCATATAGTGACGCTTTTGTCGTGCCTTTCACCTTTATCATATGATACTGAACTGAAAAAGAAAAAAATGATAAATTAGTCGCCGCTGTCCTACTGTCGGCACGCAAAGAAACATTTATAGTTACGTGGTGGCACTTTTAAATAAATTGCATCTCCTAATTACTGTCTAGTAACCCCGTCGACACAAATATCCGTAAAAAATTAAAAAGCCGATAATGATGTTCTCAGGGATTCTTTCGGGATTCCTATTGAGTTTGAAGAGCGACAAATGAGAAATATAAAGCACGGCAAAGACTTCTGTTTGTATGCGACCAGCAAACTGAAAGTAAACCGGCTCTTTTCGCATCAAGGGATATTTGCAAAGTTTACTCAGTGGCAAGTTGTATTGTCAGCCGCGGCTGAATTTAAAAGACCAATTTTAAGTGACCAGTTGTCATCACAAGAGGTTCTCGAAAGGATTTTGCGCAAATATTATACAAATACCCGACATTTGAATGGATACATGAAGGAAACATAAGTAGCAACTTTTTTAAACAGTAGGCGTTTTAACAAGCTAAATTTAAAATGGCCATGTCCGCACATAAATTTACGGTTTAATTTGTACTCCCGCGAGCACGTTCATCAAAGCCGGCCGATAAACTACGCTCGTTATTTCTATCCAACTCTTCACGAGAAAGAAGAACCCTTACGTGGGTTCATGATACTCTGTGCTATCCTGAATTGCAAAACAACGAGAAGCTGTTCAACAATAATGGTTTACGAATAGATATCATTTTTTCCAAAGAAGTCATTGACCCGATAAAAGGGCCACGTGGAAAGCGGATGTTCCTGATCCGAAAGCAAAAAAAAAAACTGACAGAGTTAGTATAAACCGGTTTACCAGAAACTGTTCATGAACCATTTCATCAAAAAGTTAATATAATCCCTAAAAAAATAAAGGATTTGAATTACAGATATCAACACATTATTGTCATTCCCTTCTGTGGGAAGATTGTTCAGGCGGAATCTTTCACAGTACTCGCTTCTTCGGCTACTTGGTCCACGATTGTTATAGATGAGGACTATTCTTTACAAAAATGTCGCCAAACTAAACAAAAGATGTAGTCAGTAAAACACAAAAGAAAATTATGCTTTACATGAAGAATGTGCGGAAAGATTCACCCCGCACGGATAGTGTCTGAGGGCGCCAAGTTTGATATCTACTACATCGATTAACCAACAAGCGAGGGAAAATGCCTTGACTAAAATAATTTGACTATTTTCCTTCAAAAAAAAAAAAATTCCTAATAAGGTCATCCTGCAAACATTTTACCCAGTAACAACTCAGCTTCAGAGCAAGAATTTTTTTGTTCTTGTAAAATCTACGCGAGGTCAGGAAAGTCAAAGCGAGTAAAACCAGTTTCCCAAAAAGCTCGTTCGTGGCGTGGGATGAATAAATTGGCTCTTAAAAACTTTGCCTTTGTCTTCGTTTGATTATCTCTTGTATACTCAGACGTTTCGATTTCTTTCTTATAAAATAAACTTTTACAAATGTAATTCTTTGAAAACGAAACAATCGCTAGTCAGTTTCGTTATGTAACGCCGAGTCAGTGGTTTGAACTGTTTTAATCGTGACGTCACACCACCAACGCAACCAGCTTGTGGCTTATTATATCAAGTTGCGCAAAGATCACTTCATTACAAAACCGTCAGTTCTCATATCCTCATATCCAGTGCTACACGGGAGTTAGCCACAAATTCAACATGGTTCTACAGCAATGCTTGGCATGCAACGCAATGGTAAGGTTTAGACGCTTTAGGTTGGATTATGCTCTAAAATTGGGACAATTGGTCCCTCCAGAGTTATGGTTTGGCTCGAAGATATTCAAATTTGTTGTCGGTCGTTAATTTTCATAATCCTGACGGCCCTTAGTCAACCACGACAACATGAACAAGCTATATTCTGCTTAAAACGTTTTAAAAAACCTCGCTATGAATGACCCAAAATTAAAATAGGAAATCAGCCGATCAACAGTGGCTTAAATCCATAGCGTTTCGAGATTAAAATATGGCAAGAAATATCGACATTATATGCGTTTGAGGACGTTGGCGAGCGGGCGACACAATGATCGCCGGTCTTATCTGACATGAGGGAGCTGTCTACAGCGCTCTCTTCGACGCCAGATAGAGGTTGTAATTTATCCTTTTTCAAATACTCCGGTTTTTTCTTTTACAATGAGCAAGGGTTGGTTTGTTGGCAATCAATAATTACAATGTATATAAACAACATCTTTTATGGAAAGATTCAAACTTGCTGAGGGAGTGTAACAATAAAGATTTCGAAACCAGACTTTACTGAGAAGCCCTCTCGCTGTGCTGTAGTAAAAAAATTCCGCGATGATTTTAGTTGCGTCAAAATGAGCTGTTACTCTAGAAGTTTGGTTTCACTGCTTTTTGTTTGCAATGGCTGTGAACTCAACTGCAGTAAAATATTGGAATCGTCTTGACCCCTGTTCCCTGACGCCTGCCCTGGCGAGCCAGACATCTTTGGTCAAAACCGATTTTGAAAGCAAGGACACGTGGGAACAATTTTTCTTTACCTACTCGTTTGATTCCCGATAAGTGAATATTCCGTTTACAGCGCTAGCACCAATTTTCAACCAGGGTCTGTTGACCGAAACGGGTTGTTTTCAACAAACATCCGACATCATCCTCGCCTAGAAAAGGGAAATATCTTCCTAAAGTGGGCCATTTTTCTTTGCCATTCAGATTAAAGACCTTCAGCTTAACTAATCCTCTCTGGAGCTGATTAACTCGAAGTTCTTTTGAAATTTCTTATAACAAGGCGTTCTCCAGACGAACCGTAAAAAAAATGCAAATTAGTGCACTTTTACTTTCGTATATTTTCTTGTTGCGTTGAAATGCCATATTTTTTGAACACGGAAGTTGTAAATTGTTTTAAAAAATACTAATGCTGTGATTCTTACCCCACTCCTGCAGATAACTGAATCTTGCCGGACATGCGTATGTGGTCACGTGCTCGAAGACGTCAAAGCAATCGCGGGAAAAAGATTCTCGGGCAAGTTTACAACTGGCCGCGCTCGCTTGCTAGATAGTTTAACTCACATTTATAAAAAAAATGGATTGTTACATCGCTAAACTGATAGAAAGTGTGGTCTAGTTCTTAAATAATAATGAAAAGTTAATCCGTGAACTTTGTCGTTGTTTTTCCCACAGAATACCGCGTTGAGCTGTATTCACGCCTGGAAAACAAGAGAATAAAGCAGTTGGTAAGAACAAACAGAAAAGCGAGCGGAAAGGAAACTACCCGACAGCCTCTGAAAGAACGCAAGGTATATTTAGGACAAACAAAATTCAGTGCTCAGCCCACAAAAATAATTCCAATTTTTTCTCCCCCTGATCGACTTAACTGAAACATCGAGTATTCATGTCTGAATTTCAAAATAACAATATAAGACTCACACTTAAAACGAAGCTAATTCATCCTGGATTTCTCTGTGTAGAACTAGCCGTATGTACTGATAAATGTTTACCGTTTCGTTTTAAAATCTACGCTAGAGTAACCCAAAAGAATTCTTAGCTGTTACTTCAGCACTTAAACCCAAGACCTGTCCACTTGGCTCAAAAACATATCACCGAAGACCAAAAGGCAAACGTCTTTCGCGCCCTGTCAACACGCCATCCAGCGAAACAACTGCTGTGCCACCTGAACTAGTGTCCAGACTTCCGAGTGCTCTGCAAGAAATTAACAGAAGATTGACAGGACAGAACTTGATATGGTGGACAATGCAGTTATCATAAAAGCTACGCCAACGGTGAAAGAACCAAAGAGGGCATCAAAAGGAGAACTCAAACCCATGATGTAACTCACGTGTCGCTTTTGGATTTTATCCCATGATGCAGCATAAACCTGGTAGCCGTAATTGACTGATTTTTCGGTCTACGGCTGGTTTGAGAAAAAAATTAAAAAAAAAACATAGCGGTAACTCGCTTTCGTACGAGGGAACCCTAGAAAGCTTAGGGTTGTTTAACCAAACAGAAAAAAACAACTACATCCCAGTCCTGAAATGTGTCACGCGGACTGCGTAGGTGCTTTCACTGAAAAGATGAGCCGAAAAATACTCGTGCAAACCTTGATATGAGTAACTTTTCTATCTAAGTGAGGAGACAACGGAATTGATAAAATGCGGAGGATTTATTGATGGGCTTTAAGGCTGATGGACGATTTAACGGATAGACCACAATTTCAAGCAAGGAAAGAAATTGTCAGGCGTGGAAGCTGTTTTCAATCCCATATACAATTAGGGAGTCATTGTTATTTTGAGCAAAGCAAAATAGGCGTCATAGGACTCCTGCTTGATCATGTCATGACAAACATTTGTTGCCAAAAACAAAGGTTACATCATGAATGTCTCGAAAATGAAACTTATGCTGGTTGAAATAAAAAAAATTGACAATACTTGTTTAGTCTGTAAAGGGATATGCAAAGGATGGACTAAGAATTCATTATAAATTAGATGATTAATCTAAAGTTGCTATAGAGTATGTTAAAGATCGCAATCGATCCAATGCATGATCGAACAAGGATGTCGACTGTTTTTTCGTTGTTTGTGGCAACTGACTGGCTGTATCCATGAAAGGGAGGTGTCGTAATTGTACTATATCTACGCAGTCACGCCTAACAGTTCTAGGTTTTATTTCACATGGCGTTTAAAAACATCAATTAACCTTTCGCCATAATTTTCCCGACTGTATAACGTCAAACGAATAAGAAATGTTGAACGATTTAACCAAAGAAAAGATCCCGGCTTTCCAGGTGAAAATGACTTTGATTCAAACGAAATGCATCTTAGTGCAACAATAAAAACTAGGAGGTATATTTTATTGACGTTGTATATATTGTAAACCTGAAACAATCGAATAGATATCTTTTCCCCACAACATTTAGTTCTGTATCGCCTACCTAAGTCCTGGTTCCAAGCGCCTTTTTTCCCCTTGATTGAAAGAAAATGGACATGACATCAGTTATCTCGCTTCGCCTGCTACGTCATAATCATGTGATGTTACTTATAGTTAAGAAAGCTGTATGATTATGATTCAGTGCTGTGTCAGCTTATTGATATTGCCTTGTTAGCAGGAAATAACTTTTTTTATAACGACAATTTAATACCTCGTTGGCTTTGATGTCACTGAAGTTTACAGATGGTGTTTGATCGTTGTATTGCGTGTAATAAGTTGGTAAGTTGCTTTAATGCACGGAATTCATTTCTCTTTGGGTTCTCTTGGGCTGAACTGTATTTTAATCAATGCCACGTCAAGTCCTAGTGCAAGATTATTCCCAAACTTCATCTGGAAAGCATAAGTTCCCAATGGATTTTTATGCCAATGTGGACAATTTTATCATTAACACAGCAATGAATTGAACGCATATGAACAAGCCTGACCTTTAAAAGCAATGATTGTTTCTCTAAAACGTGTTTAACTGACCGGAAATTGTTTTGATTAATTCATAGTGCACCTTTTCATCGACATAGACCTACAACCAACGAGAAATTTGAAAATCAAAGATTACTCGTTAAGCCCTTGAAGAGACTTTTGCTTCAAACCTCTGTCTGAATTCGCACCACGTATTCATGTTGTCATTTTTGTTTTTATTGAAAACGTTTTTATGATATTCCGATAGTTTTCGTCAAACGCTCAGTCGATTTGATATCGTCAAAACTGAGAAGAACTTCTCGCGTGACACAAGTATGTAGTCACGACTTCTTCTTTCTGTGAACGCGATGCAAATTTAGATTGCTCTTGAAATAAGTGAAAAAGCTCCTTTTTTGGTTTAGTTAACCCCCAAGTAAGAATGTCACACATAAATGCCAAAACCGGATGCACGTGGAACAACAAATTTAAATGGAGAGTGGTACTCAATCTCCATTTCTTTCCGCCTACTTATAAGACTTGATAATAACTTTTCTTTTAAAAATAGATCACATAATGTAATTGCACTCCAACCTATCAAAACATATTAAGTCATTTGCTTCGTAAAGAAAACTATGAAGCATTACTTGATAAAACACCCGAAGCCTAAATGGAAAGAACGAATCTGAAACGAACTTGGATGACGATTGACTCAGAACGCATACATTTTCAAGACAAACGAACCGTTTGTGAAGTTAAATTCTCCCGAGAAATTGCTAATTCACGGACATGATGTCAACGAGGGGGTAGATTCTTAAAGACACCATGGTGCTACGTCGGTGGGAGAGTATAGCAAGGAAATTTGGTATTATCAACTGGGTTGATAACGTAAATTGGCCACCGTTAAGAGTTTGAAAGCTGACGTTTCGAGCGTTAGCCCTTCGTCACTCGCTCTGACCTAGGGCTAACGTTCAAATCGTCAGCTTTCAAACTCTTAACGGTGGCCCGGCAATTTACGTTATCAACTCAGTTTATGATACCAAATTACCTTGATACCATTGAGGCCGAGCTCGGAAAGTTTGCCTTGATTTTTCTCATGATGTATGTTTGTGGAGTTTAACGCCACTTAAGGGATCAGACAAGATTTACGTCCTACGTAATAGATAATTGCTTAGTAACAGGCCAATACAATCCTACGCTCGATAGCGTTCTTCGACTTTCCGTAAATGAATACTGATGTATTTGAACCTTTGATTAAGCTTTTTCATGGGAAGAGAGAATCTAGAAAATTGATGGTACTTCCTTCACACATCCACGGTTTCTAATTTCTTTCAGAGCAAGGGATTTCTTACATACCAATCATTAAAAATAAGGAAGTCAATAATTAAATGACTGGAGCGACAATAGAAGTTTTACGTCAAAGGAAACCGAGTACCACACAAATGGTTCTGCATGGAATAAATGCACAGTTTCTTACCAGAAAGTTAAAATTAAAATTATGTGATTGTGTGAAGTAGATCGATTTTCAATTTTATTATTCTTCAATGAAAACAGAACCTGTTTGGCTTCGTCATACAGCCGGTTGAAAACAAGTTAAAAGTTTCATTTCTTTTTGTAAAATAGTTTAAAGTCATCTCAGCAACGGCAGCTTATTCCATGGAGCTACGTCAATACAGCTCACACATGCACACCTGCCTTGTTTGCAATCAATTCAATTTTGGCCACGTGACTCATCACTTGATACCGAGGCAGACTGGCGTGTGGCTTATTATTAAAGCTCGTATGTTTGTGGAATCTAGTGAGTCGTAACGCGCAGAAACGTAGATATAATCATCTAAAGATTCCGTGATCTTTGCTATGACAAGATGGTCCTCCAACAGTGTTTGGCCTGTAACTCAGTGGTAAGATTAGAAATCTCCAGACTTTGAGATATTGTTATGGATGAATCCGCTTTTGGCAGCTGCTTTCTTTCCCGTAGTTTAAATATTCAAATCTTCCGTCGTCTGAAAATTTGTATTCTGTCTTCCTTTCTTCTTTTTCCCATCGTATCAGTACTCGTCTTTAATTTTGTGAAATATTCTTGCCTTCTTTTTTCCCCAAATTAAGTGTTCTGCTAACATTTTTCTAGTTTATCGGTCGATTTTCCATGTGTCGATATTCATGTAGTTTAGAGTTGAGAACGATCTAGACGTACCGCCCTTTCTGGTGCTGAATGACAAACACGCGTGATAGGGCTTAACCACAATCCCTTTGGTAATGCTATTATTTTCAAAACAGACTTAAATTTGAAGAAACCGTCGTAATAACTACGAATCTGGACAACCGAAAGGCAAAAATCATTGCAAAACCAAACTAAACTAGCGCGAGCCCGTTCGACCTCAGATATGCTCCTCACGACACGGCATCGTAGCTTAAAGGCGAAAAAGCTTATCCCTGGAAAGATTAGAATTGATTTCACATAAGTAGGACTCAAAAGGTTCTTTTTATTTTTAAACTGCTTGCATGCTCCGCAAGATTTCCATTGTGGTGGGCGCAAGCGTAAGTGGAGAATTGTATCTCGGTATTCAGTTATTTTAAAATGGCCTAAGCAGCCACAGCTTTAATTTTCTCGCTCTCTCATCTGACTCAGAAGACTGACTCATGCACTTCATGTGCATGCGGCCATGTGTTTGAACGCTGTAAGCTGATTGGTGGAAAGAGATTTTCAGGTAAGCCTTAATCATTATAAAGCAGACAGTCCCTCAAAGCTAAGAAGTATTTCTTGATGAATCATAAAAATTACAATTTCCTCCATTGTGATTGGTTTAAAAAACTCCTATTTTCCACTAATTCACTCGCCAAGTTGTTATCGGACAGTTTGCTATCGGGCAGTTCAATAAACCAATCACATTCAAAATTGTAGTTTAAATAAACCAATCACAACCTTGGTTTCAATCACCAAATTGTCAGTCTTTTAATCCAAATTTTCCCTTTCTTCCATAACTTGGCTATTCTTGTTTCTCGGGAATTGTAATTTTTGTGATTAATTGGTAATAAGACTTCGTGTCGTCCAATTCGGTCTGTAATCATACTCGTGATGAACGAATCGGACTCCCGCTGCGCGGTCGTCCGACATGGTTGTCACTCGTATGATCACAAACCGACTCCACTCGGTCCTATTACCATTAATATTAATTATTTCTTTATTAATTTTGCGACTGTAATTCGCGTCTTCAAGTTATCAAGTCCGGTAATGTATACGCCTCCCAGTAAATAAAGCTATCGATAATTCAGACCAATTTTCATTACCTATCCACTTCCACCATTTGATATCCTTCGGTAGCATTTCAAATGAATGTGTTATATTAGCTTCTGAGAATTGTGTATTATTCAATCTTTTCCGAAGTTTAAAATGACGAGAAAAGGTCTCTTATTTTCATCATCATACCTTCAAACATAAATACTTATCGATTGAAGGAGAAGGTGTTGTCAGTTGCTATCGGTAAAAACTCACTAACTCCACGGGAAAACACCAACGTGAATTTATAACAATTTTCGATTGAAATCTGGAACATTTTGCAATAAAGTCGGTAACACCTGTATGTAATTTCCTTAGTTTTGAGTTTGGGGTGTAACGAATTCTTTATGATTGCCGGTTCCCACGGGAAAGAGTGAGTTTTGTTTCTCCGAGCCCCTCAGTGTTGTCCTCAGCTTCGCCTCAGGGAATATTAGGGGGCTCGAGGAGACAAAACACACTAGTTCCCTTAGGGTCGGTCTTTAAGTGCTCATTTAAATCTAATTCACATGTTGGGAAAACCCTGAGGGAAGAGTGTGACTCTCCATATGCCAGTTTTAAAATAGTTTACTTCACGGCACCTCTTTTCCTTTTCCAGAATATCGAGTGGAGCTATATTCTCGATTGGAAAACAGAAGAGTGAGAAGACTCACAAGGGAAAAGAGAAGAAAAACAAAGAATATTAAACAGACACGACTCGAGGTCAGGAAAGTAGTTTAACACTCGGAAAGTTAAAGTTTTCTTTCATTGAAGATAAATTGGTATCACTCATATTGCTCACATTTCAGTTTCATGGAAACCGGGTGCTTTCAAGTCGTATCAAAGTGTTAGTCATCCCACAAAATTTCCACCTTCGTATTTTTTTTCAAAGGTGCGATTACGTCTGGTCTTCATTGGAGACGTCAGCGGGATAGGAATCGATGAATGTCGCTATGCTTCCTTGCATCTTAATCTGCCCGTTGCCTATTTTTCTCGTTCAGTTATCAAGTTCTTTATTTGTGATGCGAGTTGATTAAGGGTTTGATTCCCCCAGTTTTCTCCATTGTTTATCACCTTCTTCGCTTGTCATTTTCCTTCAAGCATTTTACATATCCCTATTGGCTTTATTGTGCTGCTTCTCCGATATGACAATAGTTTTGTAGGGCGCCAAAAAAAAATAGTAACATTTCATAACATCTGTTTCTATCATAAACACATATTGATCACTCACTTTTCTCATTCCCAGACTAGGGCGGCGGCAGATCAAACACCAGCAGCCATACATTTACCCCTTAAGAAGAAAACACAGACACCCAGCCAATCTGTTACCCGACGAATGAAAACCAAAACATTCAGTTCGCGCACAACTGGCTCTAAAACAAGCAAAACTTCTCCTCCCCCGGAATTAGTGTCCAGGCTTCCTGATGCTCTTCAGGAAATCAACAGAAGATTGACAGGACAGAATCTGATGTGGTGGACAGTTCGCTGGATGCAGTAACAATTCTTACTTTAAAGGACTTTCTAAACTTGAAAATATGCCACACTTCCTGTCAGCCTCAGAGAGGATTACAGTCAAGAGTCACGATATCGATTCTGAAACCATTCAAGACTATGCCGATATTTCCGTTTTTAGTTAAATAGGTGGGGTATTTTATTTAAACTGATTAGCCAGTTTCTGTATCTTTCCGCACAAATGCAAAGCATTCCAAATGATAGTAGGATCAACTGTTTGAAACTTCATCCAAGCAGAGGTGACCCGCCTAAAGATATCTTTTGTTTTCTTAAGTGCCACAAATCCTCTTTCATTTCAGTCTAATGCCTGAAAATAAATGAAGCCTGCAGTGCTCTTGTTTTTCGTGATTTGAGGGAGTATGTAAAGAAATTATTTCCACCGAAGCTCTGACAAAGGTGCACTAACACGGTTTCAAAAAAATTGAACCTGAAAATGACAAAAATATTCTTGATTACTTTTTTTTATTTTATACTCTCCTACGATATCAACAATACATTACTCAGGATACTGATTTAGCCTAACTTACGATATCTAGGCTACTTAAACTTGCTTTACAAAAAAAAATTTTTTTTTTTTTTTAACTCAAAGAAACTTGAAAAGAAAGAATGATATAATAACATTTTTATCAAACGACTCTTACACAACTTCAATACAATTTTTGCACTACTTTTTTTTCGCAATACCAATACCACTACTTACGAAAGAAATGACAAAACCAACCAAATTTAAAATATTAGCACCGACAATAATGATATAACTAGCGTTACTTCTGGTATTCAAATGCGAACAAGACTATAGTAACGTTTCGTGTACTAGTTAGTTTGTATAAAGCTCAGCGAAAAATTCTTAATCACTTTTAATAACGAGACAGCTGGGGGCAAGGCAGATAGCTAGATATGTAATGTAATCTTATCGCAACAAAAAATGTCGAAATTGTTTGAATGTGAAAAACCACTGAGGAGGAAAGATTTAAACTCTGCCAAGTCAGTCATGTGGAATAATTATGGCTCGTTTCCACATATTGTGGCGATTTTGTCATGACAAAAGCATGTACATGTATCAATTAAAAACAATAAAAAAAATAATGATAACTATTGTCGTAGGTGAGCTGACCTTCGAAGAAAAATAGTTTCAAGGTGAGTAATATTGGAGCAGATGCAAAAATGTCTTCCGGTCCATCATCTATTCATCATCCAAATGTTATGACGTTTTTTAGGCGTTGGAAGTTAATGTTACCTTTTCTCGTTTTGTCTTGAGTTCAAACAAAGGTTTGGTCGGTAAATCACACTACATTACGACTATAACTGTTACATACAATCGTGCGGGACCACGAAAATCACATTAAAATGGTTTTCAAAAAATGTTATCTTTACACATTTCACTTCCTTCTCACAAAGTTTGGTTGCCGGCCGCGCCTCAATTTGAACTGAGAGGATTGTTGTAGCTAACCCTTGTTCTTCAGGGGAATTACACAGCAATTTCCGTACAAAATTCTCAGTTACTACAAACAATTATAGGCCTTTTAGATTTTAAAAATTGGAAATAGCTCTATCAGCAAAAAATACGTGGAATTTTTCTCGTATGTACGTCACAGACCATTATACTAATAACAATTCATTTCTAATTTCCTATTTGATCGTTCTCAAGACACAGGAAACTTGTGAGTGGCTTTTATACCAAGCTCATTACAGTCATTTTTTTTTTTTTTAACCGAAATGATCTTCGACCAGTTCCCTGATGACAAAAAGAATAAACCCCTGATGAAAGATTAGGAACTTCTTCTTCATCCCTGCTCAGTTACTTTGTTGACGTTTGTAATGATAAGAAATGAAAAAAAGAACAACAATTTTTTGGCTTTAAACTACCCTCCTATCCAGGCAATCGAAAAGTGATTATTACGTAGAATTCTAGGTCATAGTAAAATGATGCCCGTGACGATCTGTATATAAGTTCAGTGTCTTAGGCAATTGGATTCACGATTGCCATGAATAGGGCTTACGCTTAAAAATGAATATTGCTGAACTAAACAAAAGTTATTTAAGACATAAAAGACACCATACGTCAGGGGACTATAAGGTCAGTTTTAATCCTCACAGTCAATAGCACTTCGGTCGGGCGCCAAGATTCTGGGACATTTCCTCGACCTAAGGAAATAATTTGTTAAAAAGACCATTTATGACTCTCCATTTATCGTTGTTTTGCCAACATTTTAGATGGCCGATCGCCCACTTCAACCTAAATGATTTCTGCTAGTGAAAATACATTCGGGGTCAAACAAGTCAATGCAAGTAAAACCGGTTTTACAAATTTAGTTCGTCCGTTACGTGGGATAAGTAAATTGCCCGTAAAAAAATATCCTTTCAGGTTTGTTGTCTTTCCCTTTTAGTCCGGTGTGAATTCAGACATTTCTTTTTTTTTCAAGAAACAAATAATTTTGAAAGAATTCTTTGAAAATGAATAATCGCTAGTTTTCGTTTGGTAAAGCAGAGTTAGTGATTTGAACCGTTTTAATCGTGACGTCACACCACCAACGCAAACCAGCTTGTGGCTTATTATGTCAAGTTGCGCAAAGATCACTTCATTACAAAACCGTCAGTGCCCACATCAAGAACTATACCAGAGTAAGCTGAGCAGGTCACAAATTCAACATGGTTCTCCAGCAATGTTTGGCATGTAACACAGTGGTAAGTTTTAAACAAATTTTGTCTCGAAATAAGATCATTATTCTACAAGAATGGTCTACGTCGCTAATATTCAAATTTGTCGTCGGTCGTTAATTTTCATAATCGCATGATCAACGGCCCTCAGTCCGTCACACAACATCGCACAACGCGCATTACATCGTTGCTCGAAAAGTTAAACATCACCGAGAATTAACCAAAGGGAAGTAAGAAAATCGGCTGACATGGCTGGGGTTTGAATTAAAGATTTCGAGGTACAAACATGGCAAAAGACAAGCTTAAATACACGTGCAATTAGCGAGTGTTGGCGGGCGGGTGAAGCGACGGAGGCGGCTAACCCAGTACCGATCACTTCAAATGAACTGAGAAAACTTTTTACGAAGCAGCCTCTCCTCTGCACGAATATTGGCCGCCTGTAGTCATATTTTATATACTACGCTTATTCTAAACAAAAGTAATTTGTTCGCAGTGAAGAAAAATTCAAGATATAACTTGTCAGCAGAAATGTTCGGTGGGCGTAACAAAGACATCATCAACCCAGACTTCAGTTGGAACCCTTCTCAGTGATTTGTCGAACGCACAAGCGAAATGCTTTACAAAGAAATCCTTGACGCAATATGTATTCACACTGAACAAATTTGGCTTCGAGTTTCCCTTCTAGTAAGCCTCAGCTGAAATTTAACTGCGTCCCAAAATATCGGAATCGACCTGACCTCTATCCCTGATGCGTGCCTCAGCGAGCCAGACAAAACGCGTCCTTTCACAGTCTTCCATTTTCCAAAATCGATGTCAAAATTATGTACAATTATGACAAATTAACCTTAACAGAAGAATTTCATTCGTTTCGTTTTTCAGCGTCGAATGCACGAGATTTTTTCAGCATTTCTAGCTTTTCCGTAGAACAAAACGAGTCTAAATTATGGGCAAACGCCGAACAATGCTTTTTTAACACGCCCAAGCAAAAGAAAAATGTGCCCATAGATGGCGTTCAGATCACTTGCATGAGTGAATACTCCCAGTTCCTCTAAAACTCACTTGTAGCAACGAATTCTTCAGATCACCGTAATCAAATGCAAATTAGCAAATTGTATCCTTGTTGAAGTTTCGTGTTGCATGAAACGCGGAAGTTGTACACTTTTGCTCCAATACTGACATGGTCATCCTTTCCCTCCCCCCGTAGATGACAGAGTCTTGCAGGTCATGCGTTTGTGGTCACGTGTTCAAAGACGTGAGAAAGATTTGTGGAAAGAGGTTCTCAGGCAAGTTTCCTATTCAGTTAGTGAAGAAAGTTTAATCCGAGTGGGTGAAAAACATTTATGAATCTATAGACAGTTTGAAAAGCCGCGCAATATCAAGTTTCTTTTTTAATTTCTATGCTGTTTAAGTGGCCTGTAAGCCTGTGCCAATACATTTTGATCATCTCTGAAAATACTCTTGAAGGCAAACAGTGAAATTTTTTGTTGCTTTTCCTGCAGAATATCGCGCTGAGTTATACACACGCTTGGAAAACAGGAGAATAAAACAGTTGGTACGACAAAACCGAAAAGCCAGCGAAAAGGGAACTTCCCAACAACCTCTCAAAGAACACAAGGTACTTACGTGACAGAAAAATAGAAAATTATTCTCGGCGAGCCCAGAATAATAAACAGGTCAAGCCTTTTCTCCCACTGATATCGACCTTGAAACTCGTGGTTTTCCCTAGAGTTCGCTCGGGTGGAAAGGGAGGACAGAGAGGCGAAATGCTATGTTTTGAATGGACTGACTTATAGAGTTACCACAGATAGAATGACCGTTTGTTTTCATCACTTCCGAAAACTCGCTTAACGTTTAAGAGTCATTACCGTGGATCATACTGAAAGAGCCTACAAAAAAATAACAACACAAACGAACATGATATCTTTCCGCAAAGGAGAACTTGCATTAGAAATTGAATAACTGCCATTTTGAAAGTAGTAGTCATGGCATCTCACTCTGAAGTTCCAAAGCGCGAATTGTAGAGACAAGCATTTCGCGCGCACATGGCGCAAACGCAAATCGAGTCTTGGGTCAAGGAATAGAGTTGCAAAATTCGCAAAAAAGTCGTCAAAGATTCAGTAGCATGAGACGATCCGTTATTTTTCGTGTTCCCAGCTAAGTCATTCTAAAGCTCATTTGATTTGCTTGGGCCACCTTCTTTTTCAGGAAAATATAGTATAAAATAACAGAACTCAACCTTATACTGAGCCATCACGTCAGTTTTCCAAAAATAGTCAAATTTAAAAAAGATAAACAATTTTTTGGCTAAATATTATACCCGTAAGCAATTTTTTTCTTTCAACTTTTAACCATAGGGCAACCGGGAAGAATCTTTAGTCGTTGCTTCAGCGCTCAAACCAAAGACCCACTCAGTTCATTCTAAACCACTTCACCGAAGAATAAAAGGCAAACGATATTCGCGCCCAGTAAACCCACCATCAAACAAAACAACCAGCGTGCCACCAGAACTAGTGTCCAGGCTTCCAAGTGCTCTGCAAGAAATCAACAGAAGACTGACGGGACAAAACTTAGTATGGTGGACAATGCACTTATTATAACAGCTACGACCATCACAGGATCAACTAAACAGGGAGCGAAAGTGACTTCTGATCATAAATGGTCATACACTGTTACCAGGTAGCAGACATAGTTTCAAGACAAATCTGGTATCTGACCTAAGTTTCCCGCTGACAAACACGCTGAACTGAATCACATTAGTGAAGGAAAGCGTTTCAGACGCTTTAAAAATTGGTGTCTCCGGCTTGTTTTGATGCAGTAGATTATCAAAGTCCGAGGAACATTACGATGTTTGGATAACTATGATCTCGAGGAAGGAGATAGAACTGTTACCTATATACAAATTTTATATTTATACCTTTTATTGGAAAAATATCTCGGTCCGAACTCTTATCTACTTGTAGATAAGGAACGACTCATATTATCTACAGGCATTACGGAAACCGGTCATGAGTCGTTTCGTACCCATCTCGGTCGATTTGTACCCATTCAACTGAGTCGTTTAGTGCCCATACTGATAAAGTTAAGTATGTTAAAATAACCGAATTTATTACCGTTATAACAAAGGGGGAAAAATTACATTTACATTAGCTTTTGTTGTTATAAACAGTACACTATGCTATTAAAAATATCCCAATTGTTTAGTAGTTTATCGCAATATAATTTCGCTTGTATCTGACTTGCTAGACTCTACTAACTTGTCGTAAGCAACAATCAACGCAACGCGCTGATGTTTCGATTGAACGTAGATTGGGAAGGATACGAATCGAGACTACACGCACTCGTGTTACGTGTTGCTATCATTAAATTTCCTTTAAGACCACCTGGAAGGTGAAAAGGAAATGCAGGGGTTTTTATGGACGTGATGTACAAATGAGATTGAAAAAATAGAGGACTGACTTAAAGCTCGAATCGGAATCAGAGTGAATAAAAACTTATTTGTAAACAATATCAGATCAGGTGGAACACTCAGATACATCGGCACTGTTATCTATTAAGTTTATTCTCGACCTACAGTTTTTCAATTGGAAATTACAGCAGTGAAGAGAAGGAAAGAGGAAAAAGGCCATGTATATACCGTCACCGTTCTCACTTCTACCCGATGTATAGGACATAGTTACAGATATAATTTGAAACTACGCGCAATGATTCATGATTTCCTGAGGCACTTCACTTTATCTCATCCGTATCTGGACGTTTCATCCCACTAAAAGTTCGCCTCCAGCTGTTTCGCCCCTTTCACTATTAGTTCACTCCATCACTTTTATCATATCACAGCAGATCATGCCTCTTTTCTAACGAAATTATAAGTCATATTTATTATTATTTCTTTTGTTGTTTTTTTTTTTTGCGAAAAAGAGATAATTCTTAAGGCAGAGAAGAGTTGAAGATATTGGGCAAAAGTTTTATCTATTGAGGGGCGTACTCATCGTCATAGGGGCGAACTGGAAGAGGGCGAATTTGCATTAAGGCGAAACCTTCGTACAGCTCATCGAGTAACAAAACAGTTATTCCAAATATGACTAGTATCTTGTTAAAGTTAAGTGTCCACTCCTTTTGAATCTACATGATTCATAACGACAAAGACTATGGGGACCGATCGTTTACGGTGACGGCCCCAGTCCTATGGAACGGCCTTCCTTTACCAATAAGGCAAGATAAAAAAAATGATTCTTTTAAGCGTTTACTTAAGACTTATTTGTTTTCCAAGGCATTTCAGTGAAGATGTTTTACGTACATTTTTATAACAAACACACACGTATAGTTTTATTGAGTTATTATTATTTGTAGTATTATAATTGTAATGCGCTTTTGATTATTTGTATAGAAAAGGCGCCCTATCTTAATAATTGTAGTTGTTTTGGATCTACCAGTGATGCCGAGCGGTTCAGTCTCACATTTAAAAAAATCCAATCGCACTTCACGATCCGAAAGAGAGTCTGTCTGAGTAATGAACTTAATTCAATAGTTTTGAGGACCCGCTCTAAACTAAATAAGAGTTGCTGATTAATGTACCGTTTTCTTTTCCTCAAATTATACCGGGAGCCTAAGTCCTCTGGAGTTTCGCAGTACAGCAGGCGAATGCGTTTTGTTACGAAATGAGTCAGTTTCCCTTATCTTTCACTCTGTGATCCCGTTTTGTCTTAAGAATCTTTTTTGGTAATTTTTTTGCCTTTTATATATTTCACAGCTCCAGAAATATACCGCAAAATATGTTCAATATACGTCGGAAAAGGTATTGTTATTTCTTATTAATGTATTGTTAATGGCACTGACTTGTTACTGATGGCTGGAAACGAAGCTGCTCTTCATTACCTCCAATAATCATTACTTGTCAACATAAGTCCGCTCGCTGGTTGTGCCTCGTTTTTACCGTAACCACATGCGAAATGCTGTCACTGTAGTCTCATGTAATTCGTGATTGAAAGTCTACGGTTTCATCAAGCAATTGTTCGACACATGCTAAATTCGAGATTAAAACGCAGGTAGTTTATCTCAATCGCATTTTTTGAGTTTGAGTAACTTTAGGGCGAGAAAGGTCACCTGTGTAAATCTACAAACTGCCTTCACTCTCTAGCCCTACCCCACTCCCCCACCACTACCACCACCACCCCCCCGAAAAAATTGTTCATTCACCCGGTGATAATTACCTTCCGGTAATCGTTATAAAAGAAGCAAGTGTCTTTTTAACCAGTTAGCAGAAATAGTAAAAAACTCAACAGTTTCGACATGAATCATTGCTTTCGAACTGTCTAACTGACACGTAGGAATGTATTGTGCAATATAAAGTTTCAAATTCTCATATCCAAGGCCAAACTGCCAGCCAAATTTCCACCTATAACTTTCCTGTCGATATAAATAATAGTCAATATTTGCCTACTGATCTTTGCACATCTGTTCAGTGCCACAAAACCGATGAAGTACTTGCATTGAAAATCAAATTGCTGCTCCAGTATCGCCCTGCCAAGATCTCGGCCAGTCGAGATGAGAATATATTATTTAATAGGCGGGCAAGGCTCCTTCAGCGCACTGTCTTAATGGGAGCACCAGATGTTGACTGTTGTTGTTGTTTTTTGTTTTGTGTATGAGTACGCTGTTCTTTTCCTCTGTGCCTTAAAATTTCTGTCTTTCACTTAGCTTCTTTAATCATATCAAGCTTGGTCTTACACGAGTCGAAACTGGCTGAGATATTCATCGTCATTTTGTGCATTCGGCAGTTTTGTTCCTTTGAGAATTATATCTTGGTTCGGTACTGCTTCATTTGAAGGTTATTATAATTATCGTCTCCTCGACAGTGAAAAGTATGTCATCGAAATAAATTGATGTGATCTTATTACGAGATTACAACATAGATTTAGCTTGCGGAGCAGAAGCTTGATTTCATCAGGAACAAGCTGATATTTATATAATATGGATTGGATGGATTAGAAGGTCAACGGCAACACCCATCAAATACACGTAACGAAGGTTCTGAACGTTAAAAAAAATTACCAGTAGATACGAAGTCATCCTGAATTAAAACTAATTCACCCTGAACTAAATGACAAAAGAACTTGAAGGAGGCTGCAGATTAAATTGCCGTTCCTAGAACTTTTAAGAAATCGCGTGTAGGCAGCAGTTAAGTGAAATTCGATACGAAATGCCAGTGGTGAAACGACAGAAGAAAGGGCATCATTTACGACACTTAGTCAACACAACGATCTTACTTATCGAGCTTGAACGTTGGTCAAGAAATATGACTTAGCCTGGTTAAGTGTAACTTCCTAAACGAACACAAAACAACAAAGTACATGCACAAGAGGATAAAAAAAACAACAAACGACGCAATCAGGGGGGAGGAACTTGTTAGTCGGGGGCGCATGAATATTCGTCGCAACGGGGGCGAATCGTAAGTGAGCAAAATCTTTGATTACGTTTTCACGTAGCTGTTTACAAAACGAGTTCTTCGAATATGCGGAACCTCAAAACTACGTCAGTTCTACGAGGAATAAATGTTTCGGTGAATATTTTTTCCTTTGAGCAGCTCTTTTATTTACCTCCAATGACATTTTTGTGAATAGTTTAAGCAACGCCCACGACAGTGAATCGAATATATCGTACCTCTAAGGGATACTTTAATCAAAATGTTTCTGAACGAATATCTAACGAACTGTAAAGTCTGACTCTAACAAGTAGAAATAACGGTTAGTTTTTTAAGAAGTGTCTTGATAATCTCGGGTCTATCGAAAGAGTTACATTTCATGGGTCAGTGCGTGTAAGGAAGGCGGAATTTTGGTGTAACCTCTTTGTCCTCATGCACCGCAGGCTTCACTTAAATGCAGAACACCTCAAAGAATATACAGTTTATTCCCAAGCGACCATGAAACGTAGAAGAGAAAATTAAAAGCTTTAAAGTTTTTCAATGAGAGTTTGATGACAAAGTGTTGACTACAGTTTGCCCCGCAGACATGAGGCGCTGGAGGGCAAATCGACCACAATTGGTCTGCGACAGACGTGTTTCAGTTAGCAACACTAGTAAGGGACATGCAAATTTGGCGCGAGTTTTCCGCTTTGATTACAAATTCCTTTTATTATCTTTCTGCCAATCAAGCTTAAGTTGCCATGGCGAACAATAAAGTTAATGATTATGCGGAGGTGAAAAAGTCAAAAAAACATTAAAACTCGTTCAAAGGTATCGCAACGACAATTTAGTGGTCGATCACTGGGATCGGTTCTGTCAAAGCACCAACTCAATGGATGCTGCGGAGAATTAAGAAATATGCGTAGATGTAACGCTGAAAGATGATTAGTCTCTATCAACACACTTCTCATGAGAACACAGGCGAGTAATAATGTAAAAGTTGCTCTTTGATTTCAATTTAAGCAAATTCAACACGAGGGCCGAGAACTTAACAAAACAGTTTTGTTCTTTATCATCTGCCAACGATGATGATGATTTAATACAAAGCCTTCGCTCTGAAGTCGGTCAAAGTTTGAAACCCCTTAACGTAATGTGTGAATGGTAAAAATAATGTTTAGATTTAGAGTCTCCTTTGAATATTTCCTGTGGCAAAATAACCGACGGCATCGACATGATATGGGCCACTGTTTATGTAAGGTTATAAAGAGTAGAAGTTTTGAGCACTTGACCAAAGAAACAAAAGATTCTTCGCTTTTTTCAGAAAAGGACATCGCGTGAAAACTGGGTAGTTCGTTGGAAGACGTTGGTCTTAATTTCCACCGGAAGCAATCAACCTTGAAATGTCTTTGTGCGTTTAAATGGTTTTCTATTTCGCTCGTATTTCAAAGGGATTTTCGAACGAGTGATTAGAAAAAAAGAAAAGGAAAAAAAAGAGCGTTATTCCAAGAGCCTTTAAACGTATAATAAACAATAACAACCGCAGAAAACTAACTTAAATCTTGGATGTTTCCAACGGTCAAGTATACATCAAATTCAAAATATTGCTAGACGGAAAAAGTAAGTTTATTTTTTCCCTATCGAATATCATAAATAAACTTTATCTCCCTCACTCACGCTCTTTCTCCTTACATTCTACAGTTTCTTACGGTTCTAACGCACTCGCTGTAATAGCCAGCATTGTTTCTCTTGGAAGTATAGTGGTGATCTGTTCTTGGTGTTACAAATGTTGGAAGGGATCAGAGAAGGATGGAGAGAGTACAGAAAGTGACTATGATTCATCCTCGGACTCTCAACTCTACGGAGTCCCAGGGCACAAATACCGTGCATTTGCGAAATACTCGACGCTGTCGGACGTTTCACCGCCTGAAAAGCGCATTGAATCGCCTGGGTATCCGAAAAAATCGTTAAAATTTTCTCAGCCGCCTCCACAAGAGTACGATGTACAAGCACCTCAGCCGGATATCTCAAACTTTGTCATCCCGCCAGAGCCTCCTTTAATCGATCAATCATCGACCAAAGAGGACCTCGGAAAGGTTTACTTCTCAATTAGCTACGATTCCCAAGAAATGGTACTCACGTTGAAAATTATAAAAGCGTCCGGACTTCCGGCCAAAGATTTTAGCGGAACCAGCGACCCGTTTGTGAAAATTCTGCTGCTTCCAGATAAAAAGCACAAAATGGAAACTCGAATTAAAAGGAAAAATCTCAACCCAACATGGAACGAGGTTTTTAGATTTGAAGGTTTCCCTCATAACAAGCTATTAAGTCGAACGTTGTATCTTCAAGTACTGGACTACGATCGTTTTTCTCGGAACGATCCCATAGGAGAAATTGAAATCCCGTTGAGCGATATTGACTTGGGGCCAATGACTCTGACTTTCTGCAAGGATCTACAACCCTGTAAACGCCAGGTAGAGTGTCAATATCTTTCTTTGGTGGCAAAAAAATTCATTTCAACATTATCTCGTGGTTTTCGAAAATTGTTTTTATCTTCCCAGAAAAAAGGTTTCTCTAGAGACTCTTAAAATGTTCTGATCGTTGTCGAAAACACATTATTAGCACTTCGCGTGTACAGCTAATTAATGCCATAGGTTGTTTTCTTTAATTCCATGCTCGATGTGTTAATTTTTGTAAACTGGGATATTACCATGTTTTCGCAAGTGAAATACAAAGAACCGACTTAATTGCAGATGGACGTCTTATCGCAAACTACTCATCTGCTTATGACAGATTTCATGAATGAAAAATCCGCGATGTTTTCATTACGTGACATTTTAATTTCATGCAGTAAACTGGTGGAAGTTTGATGTACTCCTATTGCTCATTTCGTGTATTCGGGTAATTTTTGTATTTACAAGACATCCTTCGCGTTAATACAGATATAGCTTTTGGTCACAAAATATACATAATTTAAACTCTTATCAACATTTACCGCCGGCCAAAGGATATTAAAATAGGTTCGCTGAATATTAATCCCTAATTTCCTTGACCGAAAATCTCTCGATTAGCTAATATTTTTTTTTCTGTCACTGCCTAAAAGATACTTCGTGGAACAGATTATTTTGGAGAAAACTTGCGCAAAGTTTTGTCCATTACTCAACACGATGTGTGTTGTGTAAAATGAACAGAGTAATAAATAATTTACAAAAAAGAATGGCCCACCGTTACACGTATGAAAAGTAAGATTATGGTTACCCAAAAGGCTATTTTTCTTCATTTTTTTTCTTAATTTTACATATTCCGGAGACAAAATAATTTTGATAAAATTATAGCTGTACCATTAGCGTAAAAGCTCTGCTAAGGAACAATTTCAACCCTCCTTTTCTTCTTCAAATCTGCCCTCTGAAATTAACAGGTTTGCCATTTAATGTTTGGTTATAAAATGAAGCCAATTTGTAAAATAACATTTAACATGGAATCGATCTGATCCATACTAAGATGTTTCAAAGTTTTAAAGTGTCTCTAAGTTTGGGCAAAAGAAACACACTTTTCTCTGCATTAGGAATCAAATTTTATTTGAACACCAGATGGCCATCTGTGGCACGATCATAATGACTGTATTGAAAAGAAGTCATTATTTTTTTATTACAATATAATGCAAAACTGGTGAGAGGAAATAGAATGGGATGATTTTTCATTTTTCAGGAAATATTGATTAAAAAAAATGCCAAAATTGAAAAGATCTTGAAAATAAACAAGTAGATCTTTACTGATATGCAGATAATCTAATCTTCAATAAATATGCATAATATGCCAAAACACTTTTATTTCCCTTTGAGCCAGTTTCTGATTAGGTGGAATAGTAACTTCTGGATGAACATAGAAGAAATTCTCTTCATTATTATAACAAATATCTGCTATCAAGGAATCTTGTATGGTGCCAGTACTATTTAAAAGCTTTTGAATAAGAGGTTTTTTTAAACTAATATCTTTAACTCTCACAAAGTAATAATCTTTGAAAGATGGCTGTTTGAATTTGTCCAAAAACCAAAATTAATCGGTGTACTATTGGTATTTAATATGCAAATTACTATTGTTGTGGTGTATTATGAAAATGATGAAACAAAACACATTGATTTAGCTACCCAAACAATATTAAAAGGTCTTGAGAAAATTTGAACCAGTGACATCTGAACTGAGGAAAATAATAAGCATTGTTTATACATAAAATTTGATGTACAAAAAGAGTTTTTTGTGATCTAGTCTTCTATTTAAGTATCTGTCATGGCCATTCTTCCCAGATCCTTATTTACTTTATTGATGGAAGGTGATTAGTAAACAGGAAGATAATTTAAATGAAGTAATCAGGATTTCATGAAAATATTTCCCTGTTCAGTTGGTTTCCTGGCAATGAACCCTCACCCATTATGTCCTTGGCAAACATTCATAATACATTGTGACATTCATAATTTATGGCTTTATCAACATAGTAGAGTTGTTAAAAATTATTTTTATTTATAACATGTTGACTTGTCATAAGAGTATTTCTATTGGTCACAAAAATACCAGCTGACCTAACATGCATCAAAGTCAACTGTTTTACTTCCAGTATATTACAAGTTGGTAAATACAGCAACAGAAACCGACAAAAGTGCTTGTCTGAGATTGGTTTGATGTCAGTCCATTTATCAACATATAAATTCTTCTTATTCATAACTACACATTATACAATTCTATCTGGAAGAGATTTTCATTTTGTAATAGTGATTCTGTCTTACTCTGTGACAGGAACACCTGGGAGACCTTCTTATCTCCATGATGTACCAACCCACAAATAACAGAATTGTGGTTGTTGTCATGAAAGCCTCAAAACTAAAGAAGATGGACTTCATTGGATCATGTGGTGAGAAAAAATACAACAATTATGACTCTAGATGATCAAGTTTCTCTTTGAACCAAAAAAAGCTTTTAGGTCCTTTACACAGCTCATTGTGGAAGACTGTGTTAGAAAAAAGTCACCTGAGAGTACTGCTTTTTTGAGCAGTTTTTGTAAAATATTACCCAAGACCTCACATGTTGATTGGCTTCTGTGATGTCAGGCTTGATTACAACAGTCATTTAGTTAGTGGTGGGACCAAAGTTCATTTGTTGAACTGTTCAGGTGAAACAGATTTTTAATACAGTTATAAAGTTAATTAAAGAAGGATTGAATCTGCTCTTTTTGAATGCACTGCAACTTCCATTGCTGTTCCTGGGCAGGCCCAGGCCACTTGCAAACTGCCATTTGACAACATAGTCAAGACTGTATAGAGTTCAACAGCAAAGGAAGTTTAATATTCAAATATTTCTGGGTAGCTGACAGAGATATAGGGTCTCTACTTCTTTCGAGGTATCACCAGAGTCTTTTTATGAGAAGAAATCACAAATTTAAGGTAGCATGTCCATGCCTTAAATTGGGTTTAAGTAAGTGTATGTTGGGGGAGGGGAGGGCATTGTGCAGCTGAAGACGGGAACTTTAAGAGGTACAATAGAAAACAGTATGTCAGTATGTCTGATTTATAAGGTTACATAACTGCTTGCATTTTGTAAGGGAATGGTCTGAGCCAAGGGTGTACCTTTTTTTTTTTTTTTTTTTTTTTTTTTTTTTTCCCAACACTTGTTAGTTTTTCCTTATTTGTATCTAACAAGTTTCATGAACAACATAATCAACATTTTCCAGATCCATATGTTAAAATCTATTCCATGCATGGAGGGAAGAGGTTAGACAAGAAGAAGACAACAATAAAGAGGAGATCAAAAGATCCTGTGTGGAATGAATCCTTCATATTCTATGTTCCAGTTGACAAGCTTAGAGACATAACCTTTGTCTTCACTGTTATGGACTTTGACCGTATCACACAAAATGAGATGATTGGCCAAATAATCTTGGGATACCGCACCACTGGCAGCTCACTAAGGCACTGGACTGAAATGATGGGTAACCCCAGGAAGCCTGTAGCACAATGGCATAGGCTTCAACTTTACTAATAAAACTGGAATAAAGTTTTGGGAGGTGCTTAACATTTTTTGGCAGGAATTTTCCTGTCAAAGAAAAACTAACAACAAAAATAGTACTGCAAAGTGAGATCAATTGTTTAAAAAAACAATAAGAAAAGAGTCTACATATCAAAAGGTACAGAAAATTACAACTTTTAATTGCTAGTTTGAAAATAGAGGACCTATTTTTTTTCCTTGTGACAACACAATTGCACTTCCTTTTTTTTACCTTCTGATGATGAACAATGATAATGAACAGAAGTATTACGGAAAAATACCTAGATCTGTATTGTTCATTTGCTATAAAGATACAATGCTAACCACAAGACCACACACCAGGTGAAACAAATCATACCCTAACACAAGTAAAAATAGCCTCTGGCAAACTTCTTAGTAAGACAGATGGACACAACTAAATTTACTAAAAATACTTGGTACAAAAATGTCTTTTGACCAATGATTCATGACTCATAAACAGATCTTAGTCATAAGACAAGTGACATTTAATAGGCAAAACATGTACGTGCAAGACGTGTAATTTCATCTCCAACAGATTTACAGAACCTTCCCCCACTTCCTTTAATACTATGCTTTAAGAACATTTTTATGCCTACACAATTTTTGGAAATCCAGGGACAAATAATTTTGTCAGAAACTTTCAAAGTGAGTCAAAACAGCTGTTTTTCTTCCTCCCACACAATTATTTGCCCTTGGGTCTGCAACAATGTGTCAAACCCAAAAAGACAATTCAAGTGGTTTAAAAAAGGTATACAAAGGCAGAAATTTCCTTGACACTTCAAAAACATGACAGACAGAAGAGTTTATTAATAGTTGATACATTCCTCAAGTTTTTAATTTATATTCTTCCATTCCTGTAAGTTTTTGAAGATTCAATTTGATGTAGTTTGTGGTTATGTTAATGCTTAATTGGACAATGTATAGAGATTTTTTCTTAGGTGATTCTTCAAGTATAAAGTTATAAGATGAAAGGCAGTAAAAATATCCATGTTGGCAAATGTCCATTTTCTTCAGATTATTTTCACAATTACTTAAATTCCTCACACATTTAAAGGCTTAACAGGTTAAAAGGTTAAATTTTGAAGTGTTCTTTAATTATCTTGGCAGACCTCTTTGATATCAGTACCACTTTTTAATTAAGTCTCTCCATTTAAAGATCTGTTGACAAGCTAACAAAAATTTACATGAAACATGAACTCTGATGGAATCTACTAGATTATTCTTCCTGTCTGGGTAGTGATCATACAGCATAGCAATTACATACCAGGAGTAAAGATTTATGGAAATGATGTATTTTTAATTTCAGATTAAATTAAAGGAGCATTGTGCTCTGTGGTGGAATAAATTATATTGGATTACGTGTAATATAGATCTTTTGTCATCATACTTCCTGGCCCTGACTCATGTTTACTTCTTTAGGTCACCTCCTGTGCATATAAAAAGAGCCTTAAAATAATTTTGGGTGTTTGCATTGAGGTTGGCATGAAATGGGTGATTCAGTTTAGGATGACATTTGTACACAATACAGTTAATTCTTTAAGGGATGAGCACAGCTGCTGAATCAAAAGAAGCACAGGAACAAGGGAGGGAGTGAGCAGATTAACACTGCACTAAGTAAACTAAAGCCATGTATGAGATTACAAAAACATTCTTACACAAAAAAATGTGAAGATAGATTTCAACCATTTGTCACAAATGTCAGAAAAAGAAGAAAATTAAGTCCCCTTGAGAATTCAAAGCAAAGACCTTTCCAATATCACAATCAGTTGCTCTGCTGTGAGATACAAAAAAGCCCATTTGAGAGCTTAGCCATGTCTTGGGTTCATATGTGACAATCATATTGCTCCCTAATAGGATCGGCAACATCAAAGGCATCTTCATTTGATGACAAGCTTAAAATGCAAGCACCATTTCATCTATTCATACAACTGTACAAGAGAACTTTAACATTCTTTTTCACCCCACCATTATACTTTTATTTCATTCACACCAGCACATTTATAAATACTACTTGTGATGAGCGCTAGCACCACATGAACTAATAAATACCTGAAATAATATTTACAACCCATCTGCCCTTTATTAAAACTTAACCAATGCTCATTCTATTTAACTTCCTATGGAAAGAGGGAGGGGCTCAAAGTATACCTCTAAACTAAATGTGTTGTAAATAAAAGAGCCAAGAGGTTTAGCACTAATGAAATAAATATTTTGAAACAGGATAGCTATAATGTACTGATGCCTAACATGAGTGCTTTATTGACCAGGCCTATAAAACTTTGCCTATCAATTAAATTAGATCTGGAGCACTGTGCTTTAACAACAACTGTGAGATACTGGCCAACAGCACTTCTTCCCAAGAAGTTCACTGCATTGTAAAAGTTATGATTATTACTGCAGCTAGTTCTAATTCCTTTTCATCTACTGTAACCTCCAATTCAAAAAGAAAAACATCTGCTCTCCAATGTTCTGAGACTTCTTATGATGAATAAACAGAACTTGATTTTATGGTCAGTGGCACAAGTATAATATTTACCATTAACATCAAGATTATTTACTATTTATGTGGGGAAATAATCCCAGCCTTGAGTGATATTGAAGTCTTAAGACATCAAAGCATGTTAGCTACCTGGCACTTCTATTTAACATCTGACAGTTGCATCAACTTCTTTAAATATCAACCTCTTACAAAGTAAGGATTACATAAATTAAATCATGTCACTCATAGGAATAAACAAATTTCCCCTTTTGCATGACCAAATAATTAAATATTGTTTTGTTTTGTTTTTTTCAATTTTCCCTTATCAACATGAACTCTGATAATTCATGCAACAGGTGACTTATATATTTAAAATATACATTTTAAAATTATGATGCACATAAGCAGTCACAGCAACCACTAAAATTACATTATTTTGCTTATAAAAGTACATTTCAATTTATAAAATTTATATTTAAGAGAAGGTACTCACAGCAAAAATTAGTAAACCCTGCATATTAAAACTTCAACATGTTTAGTCACTCTTATATGATAACAGCAGATGAATGTCTATTGTTATTGAAAAATAATCTCAAGTCATCCACTTAATTCTTCTGCAAATTGGCTCGTAAAACAAGTAAATTTTTTTTAATAAGAAGTTTCTTATATATAGATTTTGTAACAAAAAGAAAAAAACAGCAATAAAAATGAACAATTTTTCCACCTTTCTGAGGTTATTTTCAAGTTCTAGTGAAATATACCAAAAAAATTAGAGCATATAATAATAATGGTTCACAAACAGATGAAAATGTAGCAAGTATTAAAAATGTGTTAATAATTATATAACTACAAACAATTATAAAAACAATATTTTTTTCCAATAGAACTTGAGAATGACCTCATTGATGTTGAAAATTAACCTCATTCATTTTTAACACTTGAACTTGTTTTGCATGAAATTTTTTTTGCAATGTTCATGTAAAACCCACCTAACCTTCACACAACAGAAATTTCCATATTAACATACAGGGCAAAACAACACATAAAGCACTGATGAAATGCGTACGCCTTACATATAATTAGAAGGTAAAATTGTTTCCATAAGCAAATAAAATTTGCTGATATGTAAATGGCATCCCATCTCTGATAATGTTATGCATTGTTAATACTCAACTACACAACATCATGATGTGTTATGATGTTGTTGTCATATCATCATCAATTATATCTTATCATAACAACTGGATCTAATTTTGACTGATCTAAAAACTGCCTGCAAATGTTGGAATCCAGGAGTCTGCACCACTACAGAACACTGTGCTCCCTCACATAATTGTTACGATATGGGAGGATACCTATCTGATGAGCCTTGATCCCAAGGTTTCTGATTCCATGCTGTTGATCCATAAGATGAACTCATACTTGACAAAGACTTGGAGCTAGGGCCAAGACTTGGAATTAAGGGTCGGCTTGCAACATCAACACCATCATGTAAATGTTTGTAATGAAAACTACTTCCTCTAGGACGGAATTCAGAGGTGAAGTTCTGCAAGAAAAAAAGGGCTGAAAGTGAAACTTCAGCAAAACATGTAAAGGTGGATGTTTTAACTTAAAATTCTGGGTGTTTCTACATGTACATGTAAGGAATTTAGAGATGAAGAGAATTCTCTAGGTATTGGCTCAGCCAGTACCTGGGTTCTCTAGCTACATTTCTATAGCCTGAGCTACTACCAGTTTGTGCATGGAGAGTCTTGTCCTGCTGTTTTACACTATAATTCTCAATATTCTCGATGAACCCTATTAAAACTAGTAAGACAGTTCAGCAGTGATAATCATGGTACATTTCTATATCATTTGCAAATAACCTTCTTTTGTATGTTGGCTTCCTAGTGACAATTTCAAGCTATAGAGTGTACATAAAATTAAAACAAACCCTAATTAATTTAATTTTTAAAACTTAATTTTAAAAATTTTTCTAACACTGAAGTCGTTCTCTCAACCCTTGATCATTTACCCAGAATTGTATCATTTGAATTTGATCCAACTCTTTATGCTAATTTTTATCTGTAAAGTCAATAATAAGCACTCAACAGAGAAAGTTTGCTCACCCAAGGTTTCAACTACAGTGTGAAAGTGAAATAAACCAATATTATTTCAACTTATACTTTACACTTACTGCATTAGCATACAAAACTTAAGACTACAGATATCAACTGACCCCAGAGTCATCATTCACTGCAAAAACTGGTGCAATATAGTCATCCTGGCTGCACTGGTTATTTTCTGTGTCAAATATTGCTGCCATTGCCCATATTGGTAGGAGCCACCTGATAATCTGGAAAATTTTAATAGATTTTATTCCCATGTGTAAAATTTCCATACAGGTTTTCCCTACAACCACCACATCTGATTGTTAAAATTCTACATTAGATATTTATAATGCTTTTGACACATTGTTACAAGTCATGCCATTTCCACCAAAGAAATGTGGGGGAATATGCCTTCTTCTTCTAAATTATAGTAAATAAGCCCAGGTAATTGGTCTTTCCTTGGCTATTTTGAGGGGGGTAATTACAAACTAAGTGAGAAAAGGAAAAGTGGGGGTGGGTTGCATATAACAGCAACACCAGCAAATTCCCTTTGCTGATTAAAATATTATTTTCGTTTTTAATTTCAGTAAATATGCCATGCTAAGGGGCTCATCTAGCAGACAACTGGAAGATGTTCAGTCCCCATTTCAGAGAGGTGCTCCTTTTCTATAGTTACAGTGTATGGTCCATGCAAAATTTTGGTGCATTCTAAACTGAACTATTTACGACATACAAGTGACACTTGTCTAAATTCTGATTATAAATTCAGCAGCAATGCATCTATCTTGGTTTGCTCTTTGCTTGTTGACATTTGCACCAAACAGCATCACATTTATGCAGACCAATCTTCTTAACCACATGTTTAGTGCCACTTCTCCTTAAGTTGTTCCACCTAATGAACTCTAATGGCCTAAAACTCTAATAAGCAAAACAACTGCAACTAAATGTCCCAGTGTTTGTCTTCACAAACATGCAATTTTTGAACTTACATTAACAGTGATGTACACTGCTGTGTAGCCTGCTTTGCTTGACAGCTGAAAGAAACAATTTTGAACATTAAACGTGTTTGTCTCACCTGAACAGCTCATTATCAAAAGTAATAGAAAGGTTACATTTAGCTCAATAGCTACCCACACAGGTATCCAAACTGGCCACTTTCCCAGCAAATTTAGTCCCTGGTTTTTTTTTTCTAGGCACAGCATGGTGCAAAGTTTACTTGTAACATTTCCTTATCAGTTTGATTAAATAAGACAAAATACTGAGTTTTTTTTCCTTTTTTAGCATTAAACAGAATCTTCTTACCAATACTCCTTGACAGTTATTCTTTGGTCCAGCTGCAATTGAACAAAATACTTTTGGGAAGAGTTTTAATTAAAAATACAGTGTACATCCACCAAATGAATTTTAAAAATTAGGTATGCTCACTCACAGAAGCTGTATACATCTAAAGTTGTATATCTAGCTAGGTGCATGCTGTCCCAAAACTTATGGTGGTTACAATAAATGAATGATTAATAGCCAGGTAGGCAGTATTTTCAAGCTGTACCATAAGGAGAGAGAATGTTCCAAGTACTTACTGATTCTCATGACCAGGTCATGAACAAGGCTGACCAATGCTGATAATTCAAAAATGAAGATTATCCTTTAACAGGATAAAAAATAGAAAACCAAATCAATAATTCAAAGTGTTACACATGAAAATGAAACAACATTAATCTCATCACAATCTTGAGGTCATGGGACTAATTCCTTATTAAAAATTCATCACAAAATAAAGTCTGCTGTAGGTGGCCTGCACCTGCATCTCACTAAGCAAT